TTAAGATGACATCTTTATTTAGAATGGGTTTAGAGAGGAATCCAGAAAGATGTTAAAAAAAAAGAAAAGAAAAGACAACATACCACTGGGAGATGTTTTATTCATACAGACATTGTAAGAAAAGGACTGAAAACATTAAATATGACTTAATTATAATCTTGAAATTGATGAAAGAATTATGCTTATTTCTTCAGGCAACATATGAACTTTTAACATAAGCTAGGTCAGCAAGGAGCTACAGAGACCTATTCCACCTTTTTCCGATTTTTTTTTTTTTTTAGTAAAACAATAAAACAGTATTAAAAATAAATAAATATTTTTTAGTATGAATTCCCTGCACTTCAGGAACAAGCTATATTGTCTGTCCTTTAGGCAAGATCAGAACATACAACTGTGAAAGTTCATTTTTCACATGAAAGTTAGGGCACTAAAATGAGTGCAACCCTTTAGTCATCCCATACCAGATATGTAGGGAGTGGAGAGGAAGCACAATATCCTCCATCTTGTGCTTTCCTGCAAAGCACAGCTGTGCTGGTACCAAAACAAACAGAAGATAAAGCAATTATAATTTAACATAGGAAGAAGTATTTAGTATATAGGAGTGGACAAAACTGAGCCAACTTCAGAGCCTACATATAGGTTGAAGGAGGTGATTCTCCCCCTCCGCATAGAATTATATGATTCTATGAAGTATCTTTCATTACATCTTTTTATAGGTATTGATGAGTTTGGCCATATAAAATCATAGAATGGTTTGGGTTAGAAGGGACCTTAAAGACCATCTAATTCCCGCCCCTCCCTGCCATAGGCAGGGGGGATACCTCCCACCAGATCAGGGTGCTCAGATCCCCATCCAACCTGGCACCTCCAGAGATAGGACATCTGCAGCTTCTCTGGACAGACTGGTACTATTCCTTCTGCTAGGAACTCTCCTTAATGCAATTAATCTCCTTAATTATATGCAATTGCTCTGAAAACTGTAACAAATATGGAATTAATACCTTCTGCTTTTTTTCTTTTTTTAATTACAAAGCAGAATATAGCAAGGTGATATAGTTCAAATGGAGCTAGTATGACTTTTATGTCTCTTCTAGACACAAAAGGCAGTGTAAAATGGCTGATGGGAACACACTACAAATGTATGTAATGCCTTTTTTTTTTTTTTTTTTTTTTTTTTAATGTTTCCGTCATTATTTTTCTACTTATTTGCTACTGAATGCTATATGGGTAAAAATTAACTACTGGCTTCATTTAAGTCAAAGTTTTAAATGGTCACAGTATGGCCAAAACTACATATAGCCTGCAGCGTTGTAGCCCAGTGAACATAACATGGCTGTTCTTTGTAACATGCAACAAGCTGTGTGTTAATAACAGGTGTTGGGTTTTGTCCAAATCTATCTTGTGTGGCATTAAAAAAATATATATTTTTGCCTGTTAAATTACAGCAATCATTTGATAACCATTGCTTAATTTTTTTTAGACTTGTATGACTGTGTTGATACATCTATTGTTATATATATACACACAAACACACGCTTCTGTAACCAGTAGATAGCAATAGCAAATAGTTATTTTGTACAGAATGAGCTATGATCCTAGTATACTAATGGAAAATAAGGGAGTACCACAGGTTAACAGCAGAGGCTCTGAAAGCATAGACACAAGATAAAAGATGGCAGACCAACCGACCACTGGTTAGTCAAAGTAATGCTACCTTAGAGTCTGGGTAAATCTAGTTTTAGGAATAAAGATCAGCTATTACAATGACTGTAAAAACACATCAGTTGTGCCAGGGGAGGCTTAGGTTGGATATAGGAAAAGCTTCTTTACTGAGAGGGTTGTTAGGCATTGGAAAGGGCTGCCCAGGGAAGTGGTGTAGTCACCATCCCTGGAGGTCTTTAAAAGACATTTAGATGTAGAGCTTAGTGATATGGTTTAGTGGAGGACTTGTTAGTGTTAGGTCAGAGGTTGGACTTGGTGATTTTTGGAGGTCTCTTCCAACCTAGACAATTCTGTGATTCTATAATAAATTCAGATATAACATAGATTTGCAGACCAGTGACAAAAGATCACTGCACAAAGCATATAAACAACAATTACAGTCACACAAAACTGATCCCCAAGTTGGCCCAGGAGCAAGAAGCCACCAACATCACACTGCTCCTGGTAAGGAGGAGAAAGCAGCCCCCACTATTAACACACTTCTTTAAGTGAAAGACTGGGACACTGACAAATTCTTCTGAAGTTGCATACTCATACTGTTGAGGTACTGATGCAGAAAATTTTTATTTCCTGTGTAGTTCACATACCCCACAGAGGTTAACAGCCTCTCTGGCAAAACTATACATGACTACTTTGCTTCATTTCATGTGTGAGGAAAGAGAGAGGATGAAAAAGTAAAAAACAATGAAATATCCACTAAAACTTCAACACATGAGATAGAACTGAAAGAACTTTTGCTTTCTTCACAAAGAGTTCAAAAAGCAGAAGTGTATAGAATACACATTGTTTTACTTCAGGAAAACAAACAAACAAAAAACAATGGTTTGTTTACTGAGTTATGCTGTGTGTTAGGGCATTTGTGATTTTGGATTGTACTTTGGCCTAAGACCTTGAACAACTAATTAATTAGTCCATGCCTTTGTTTGCCCATCTAGAAGAAACTCACTCTCACCTGAAGAGCCTTGGGAGGTATCTTTGAATTTTTAAACAGATGTGCGAATCCATATTGCAAGTTTATAAACTGTGATGCACATCAAACTGAATTTAAATAAGCCCTTTCTAGTTGTCCTGGGAGAATTTTGGCATTTCCTGTTCTCTAAACTAGATTTTCAAGTTTAAAAACTATCACTTCAGCAACTACTCCCATTATAATATGAAATGTCTTATGCTTTTGTTATTTGTAAATATGTGATTTCTTTATTAAACAAAAATTGCTCTCTTACATTGCTTGAGGCACGTGATAATGCTGTAGATGAGTTTCATTTTTTTTTTTTTTCATGCTAGGCTTTACAACTGAGCAAGATACATCTTAACATTTTTAAAATGTTAAAATTCTTCACACCAAGTCATTAAATTTAGTAACATTACTTTTTGGAGAAAAAAAAAAAAAAGAGACACAAGTTGGACTAAAATCTCTTCAGCTTTTATTCTGACTCAGATGTAATTTCTTCTCAACTAGAGTGGAAAAAAAAAAAACAAACTTGCAATTGTTGGTTACCTAGTATTAATAACATAAGAATTAGCACTGTACCTATTATGGCACGGGCAAAATAAAATAATCTCATCTGCCTTGCAAATATTTGTACTTCATTCCAATTTAATCATCTTGTCTATCTTTAAAAGGAAGGTTTAAGGACAGATAATTCACCTTAAATTGCTTTGCACAAAATTCGATGGGTCTGGCAGTTACTGTGGTAAAATGGATGGTAAATTAATACCTTAACTGAATTATGTACCACAAAAGGAACTAGTTAATGTGCTCTTTGTTCATATGTGTCTGACTTGCATATAGGAGATACTTGGTGTCACAGTCATGCTGTACCTGGAGAATACCTTATAAGGAAGGCAGTCCTGAATCTTCAAATTCCTCCTGCCTACCAGTCTAGCAATATTTGGCTCACATACTTAGGTTAGATGTGCTAGTTACCTCAGTTAAACAATTAAATAGTAAATATACTGTTCATGCAGTGCCAAAATTACTTCCGTGTTTACTGATCCTCTGTCCTTCTTCATTGTCTTTCATTTACCCATCACATCACTAGAAAATATGCAGATCAGAGCAGTTAAGAAAAATGGACTTCATAAATGCCTATTTTAAAAACTCTTTTCTTTTAAAAAGATATCATCCCATTATCTGCCTATCCATTAAGATCATTCCGTTGCTCCACAAACTCTCACATACAAACACGTTGAACAAAATATCAGATGGTGCTTCAAAAAATATGAATGGGTGATACTGCACTCTTAAGAAGCTGGCACAGCTGTACAGGGATGACTGGCAGGAAAATGAGGCCTTTAGTACTAGGGAGACAAGTTTTATCTCTTTTGGCACGTAATAATTTTCACCAAAAATATTTTTTAAAAGCAATGTTATCATTCGTACTTAATGATGTTCCTCACAAAACCCAGAACAGTGGAGCATTCCAGTGGGAGGCTGGTTTTCAAAAGAGAAAGTTGAAGTTAATGCCATTCTAACTGAGTTCTGGAACAAAGTTTTACAGGAGAGCTAATTACAGTGAACGGAGAATGCCTCCGGTTTAAAAGTTATTTAATCCCTCATGGTAGAGCTGTGGGTGCTGACTTTCTTACCCTCTTTCTAAAGTGCAAGCTGTTAAAAACGCTAATTGACTGAATTCACAAAATTCTCCCTTCAAAGAGAAATAAAACTGTTTTGAAAGGCAGCTTTTGAATGTGATCTTGATTCTAAAGCAGCCTATTTAGAGAAAATGGGATCCATAAATGTCAACACCACCTGTAGTCTGCCTGAAAATGTGCCTGCCTTCTGACAACAGCATTGATAAGCCACAGGCACACTGGAACAAACATCCCTTACTTTATCAGTTAGATAAAAGTTAAAGAAAGTAGTGGTTACTAAGAAAATTTCTGGTTCTAATTTGTTTCAATATGATCTACAAATACACCTATAATCATCAAACAGTGCTAAATAAAATTCAGTGGATTATCATTTCTCCTTCAGAATGGAAGTTATAAGAAGTGTACTTGTTTTAGGTTAAAATTGCTGTAAAACAGACACACAATATTACAAAGGTAAGGTGTCTTCTGAGGGCATTTTGAGCATGAGAAATTGTTGTATAGTATAGCACATGAGACATTCTTGTTCACCCCAAATCATATGCCTACTATTTATAGAGAGGACATGATAGAAACAACTTTTAGGCAGGCAGAATACCTTAACAGAGATTATGAAACGAAAATAAATGTATTTAGCTGCTATTCCTTTCCATAACACAGAGCACATACTATTTAAGGAAACGTGATAGGACTTTAAGTAGCAACTCTTTATTGCACTATAAAACTAAAACTTCAATACTTGGGCATTTTAAGTATGTATTTCAGTGCACATAACATGGAAAAATATAGTTCACATACCCCACAGTTAACAGCCTCTCTTGCAAAACAAGATATGATTATTCTGCTTCAGTTCATGAAAGAGAAAATGGAAGTGTAAAATTTGACAATTCATGTCTGCCCAGTATGATCAAGCAGCACCCCACTCCTCTGTGAGATATTCATTACTACTTGGACAAAACAATGTCAATATTCCTTTGCATGAAAATCTTGGGGGAGGAACAACAACACATAAATAAGGTCAATGACTCATCTAGATCAATATCCTACTAATAGTGGTGAGGACCTTTGAATATGCAAAATGTCTTGTAGCAGATGATTACCATGATTGCAAAGACATATAGTGGAGAAGTATAAAGGGTCATACCATCAGAAATCACATACAATCTCAACTAAAAGAGCAATTGTCATCTTGGGGAATTACTGAAAGAAATTTTGCTTTGGATTTATTTGATTGGTTCCTTCCACTCCCTCCTTTACAAAAATTCAATATATATCAAGCATGTGAAGTCTGGATCACTCATGAAGCTATTTTCTTTAGACTCCATGATTTCCTCTGTGTTTACAAGAGCTAAGTGAAAACAAACAAACAAACAAAAACATATAATTTATTCCCCACACTAGTTCGAGATAGTTTCCCACAGTGTTTAAGTGTACTGTCCAATTCAACTTTGAATAAAATCAAGCCACAGGGCTTCAAAACCACTTCAGACAGATTATTGCAAAGTCTAATACATTTTGTTAGTTCTAAGTAAAAGGCCTTCATTCATTAGCTTAATTTCCCTTAGTGAATTGCTATTATTTTCAATCTACCAAAATATTCCAATTACTCCATAGAGGCTATAAAAAGAGCCTTTGAATACCTGTTGATGTTAGCCAGGCTTTTAAAAGTCTGGGCCAAAATCTTTATTAGTGTAAATCAACATAACAAAATGAAACTAATTACAGCAAACATGAACCATTTTGTAAGAATCCAAGTGGGGGTAGGCTTAAAAAGATGGACAAACAATGCACATGCACTGCTTCTCATCTGTTCATTTTGCCATCAGAGTTCAGGACAGAAATTAAGTTCTATTTGAAAAGCTAATAACATTTCTTACTCTGCAAAGATAATTTGGAGAGTATTTGCTTTGTTGTTGTTGTCTTATTTGCTTTGTCCGTTGTTAACTGTTTCTGAAATGTTAGGCAGGGTTTCTTCAACCTCATCTCATAGATATGATAGAAATAGCCACTTTATATGAGTTTATCTCTATGAAACTGAACTTTTGAATAGCTGCTGATGCAGGGCAGAGGCAATAAGAGCAGTTTTCCCCTGTCCCAAACTGCCCTACTTAGATACTTCAATATACAATGGAGGACCATGTCAGTTGCAGGCACTGTTGAAGAAGTCAGTCTCTACCATTTGTTCTGAGTCTGTTAGAAAGGACAAAAACAGTGGCAGTTAAAATGTGAATCCTTGCTTTTGATACTCAAAATGAGGATATTTACCAGAAACGTTACATATTCTGTCTCTAGCTTCATAGATTCATATCTCAGCTAATAATTTAGAACTGAAACTGTGTTAACACAGCTTTCTTCCATCCTATTGCGACAATTACTCCACAAAATTCTAAAGAAATGCTGGAATCACACTGAAAATTCATACATTTCTTCAGAAGTTCTCCATAAAACTCTATTGTAGAATCCCTGAATAGAATTGGACGGCATAGGTCACAGAAAATATAATCAATTTCTATCAACTTCTGAATATTTTTTCCATGGATGGAGATTTGTTTTGAATAATGCCTTGAATTCCAACTTGGATTTGCAGAGTATCAATCTATTCCCTCCTTCTGTCATCTGCTATTAGCTAAAATTTAGGTAAGGAGTAAAAGGAGGAAAGAATTTCTCAATGTCATCATCCTTAGCTGAAAGCTCTTGCTAGGACTGGGATGAGCAATGATCTGCTTCCTCAGCATAAGGAGACAGACGTTTAACACTGAGATTTTTCTATGTATACAGAATCTGGCTCAGAACTGTCAGTGACATTTCTTCAGCTTTCCGTGGCTCAGAAAAGGGGGGGGGGGGAGGGAGGCAATTCTCATCACAGAATTATCTGTACAGTTGTTGGATTGTGTTGCAATTTTCCGAGGTTTTAATGCTGAAATGTGTTCATATTAGCAAAACCACATAATAGAGTTTACTACCTCTTTGATCAAATAATTGACCATCTTGCACTTGAATAATTTATAAAGATTTCAGAAAAAGATTTTTTTGAACTTTGAATATTGGCAGAAAGATTATCTGTTAAAGCAGAAAGTTCTTTCAAGCAACATGCTGCAGACTAAAAAAAAATAATTCTGTAACTAATGAAGAAATCCTTAAATATATCCGGTCAAACTAAGAACTACTTTTGGTGGTAAACTCTCATATACTATGCAAAATATGTAGAACTTATCTCAGTGAGGAACACTCCTGAAGTACCAAAGAGACTGACAGCAATACCAATTGCAAAAGACAAGCAAGAAAGATTACCTTCAGTAGTTACAAGCATTCTTCCATTTTGTCATATAGTTATGTGGGACTTAGGTCTCTAAAAATTTTAGATAAGAAAATCTCATGAGAGTTCTTATATTTCCAGCTTCCATCTGTGAGGTCATTAAAGCTCCAATCTGTTCAAGCCCAGAAAGGCATGCCCAAGTGGATAAGTCTCAATCTGATTTTCAGGCATCTTAGAGATAGTTACCCAGATTTCTAATTTAATAACAGTTTGTGTCAGCTATAAATTCTTCATTCTATAATTGTCAGGCTACGTGCTAACATAATGAACCAAGATTCAGGTTTTTAATATCTCTTGCAGTGAGTTACTCAAAAGGCTTATTTTTGCTCAAGTCCACTTCTATTTAGAAAAAATAAAATAAAAATAAGTTGTGCAGCATTCCCCACAGGGCAGACAAAATTCTAAGATATGATGCAGAATAACTCTATGGGGCCATGAACCAGAACATTTGTGTTAACAGGGTCAGGCTTGGTCTGGTAAACTCTGTCTTGCTGACACTGCCCTGCTACCTGCATTTCCAGAGCCTGCAGGCTCAGGATTCTTTGCAGTCTGTGTCACCACATAGTGTAAATAAACTTTAAATTTATTCTAACTTACCCAGTTAAAGAGAACAAAGCTTAATTGTTTAAGAAGGGATTTGCCCCTCCCTTCCTCTCTCCTCCCCCTCCTCCCCCCCCCCCCAGCTGTTCCCTGCCCCCATCTTCTCTTCAATCTTAAATCTCCTTCTCTACAACATTTTGGGAAAGATAAAGTTAAGTGGGTTTCTTATAGAAATGTCAAAGGAAAGGTTAAACCATTCTCATCTCATTCATCATAATTATTTTCTTCTTCTTTCATACTTTTTCTTTCTGTTATACAAAATAAAATAGCAGTTGATTTGAAATGGCAACAAATGACACATATGGGAGTTTTATTTTCAAACAAATCTACAGTTAGATCATGTACAAAAAAAACTAGCAGTTCTGATAAATGATTTTTTCTTTATATCTGACTTCTGACATTCAAGAATGTGACCTTCAAAATGAATTTCCTTTTGAGTCTGATTTTTCTATTCCTTTTCATTTAACAATTAAGTATCTCATATGCTGTACATCAAAGTAGAGAAAATGGCCACCATAATAAAGACCTCAGTTTCTTCCTCTATTTGTGCTACTTCCAGATTTCATCTCATTTAATGTATCTGCTTCAAGGTGATCTTTAAAGATAATTCACTCAAATTAATAAAACTTCCCCATTTTTATTTTAACATAAACTAGTACCTGCTATCTCTCAAATTCCAGGTTGTATGTATTCTGAGATTTCACAGCACCTGAGTTGAATATGGCATATAGAAACATACAATCATTTAGGTTGGAAAAGACCTCTACAGTCATCCAGTCCAACCATCTAAGCTTTTAAAATAATACTCACCTTGTCTCATAGCACTTAATTGCACCTAACTGAGGGGAGTGGGGAGAAAAGAGATCAAGAACTTACTCATGGAGGAATGATGTCATGTTCTGTTGTTGTCCTAAATTTAGGTACTTTTTTTGTTTTGTTTTGTTTTAACATGCTGAATTAAGAAGACATAAACCAGGCCTGTGAGGAATTATAAGCAACTTACTAACATCAAATTGGACAAATGATCATTAAAAAGAGTAAATCTCTACATGCAAAGCAGATGAATACCTCTGTAGACAAACACAGAAGTCACTTAATGTGTCATTAAGTACCTTTAACTTATCACTTTCTGTTATTTCTTAAGAAAACATAACCATTTCCAGTTTCCATCTGGAACACAATTTCAATTGCATTATTAGAGGAAAGCAAGAGATGAAAATGTAGGAACCCAAATCTAGCTTTTGTGTTTCTTAAATTGTTAAGAATAATACAAATTTATGACTTAGTGACCTAGGCTATATCTAAAAGGTATATATTTTAGCCAAAAGATTACAAAACAGCTGGATCTAGTTTCAAGTGCTTTTTAAAAAAATAGGATATCAAAGGGAGTTAAACATCTTAGTTCCCATGTCTGCATAATTCATTTCATAATTCATTTTTTGGATTTTTCTACCATGGAGAGATTCAGCTATATGCTGTATGAAAGAAGCAGGTACATGATTTTGGAACTGTTGCCTGAACATACACTGTGCCACTTCCTAGCTGAAGAGATAAATTTAGCCATCTAGATATTATGGTGTTATTTTTACCTGAAGCCTTGTTCATGGAAATCCTAGCTGTCATACCTGCAGGAGGACTGGTTGACTTACAGCTTTTATTTGTACCTAAAAAGAAATAATGGTGGCAAACCTCTTAATTTATGCACCTAAAACCCCTGGGTGTCTTTCGCTGTAAATGTACCAAATTCCCCATTATCTTTGCTTCCTGTGGTGTGTAGTAAATCCACCACATAACTGTTCTATTTATAAGAGCAGGATAAAAATGAAAAAGTAAGAAATGCAACAGAGAAAATACAACTGTATTAAACACCAAAGTTACTAGCCCTTAACATATAACATTTTGCCTTGAGAGGGATGACAGTAGTCACTGTAGGTCCTAACCCATTCCTCTCTTCTTTCCACCACTTTGACACCTCACCCTTTGCCTCAAAGGCTTTCTTCCACTGTTTGCAAAGCTAAGCAGCTATAACAAGGACATGGCTGTAAGAAGACAGAACTTAAGGACTCCTTTCTTTTCCAAAGGAGTTGTGAAAACAGTCGGGGTATTTCACTGCTCTTTATTTCCTTTGGAAACAAAATCAAATTTCATTTTGAGATGAGAAAGAGAAGGAAATCTTCTGCTGTGACTGTGTCTCAGAAAAGCAAGGAAGCAGCCTTAAGAGAAGTCAAGTTCTAAACTCAGTGTTCCACTCACCAAAAGCTGATGCAGCTACTAATCCTCTAACTTGCCACAAAACTGCAATTTCCATGGCCCTGAGGAATGAGTACAAAGAATACAGTGAGCCTAATTCTCTTTATCACACACACACATACACAAAATAGAATCATAGAATCATCCAGGCTGGAAAAAGACCTCTAAGATCATCTAGTCCAACCTTTAACCTAGTACTTAGAAGTCCACCACTAAACCATGCTACCAAGTTCTACATCTACACACTTCTTGAAGGCCTCCAGGGATGATGACTCAATCTGGGCAGACTATTCCAATGTTGCACAACTATTTCAGTAAAGAAATTGCCCTTCATCTTATCACTTGGGAGAAAAGCCTATATTGTCTATATCCACTGCCTCCAGGGCACCAAGTCTACCTCTACACAGAATGACTTCCAAGAAATAACGGACAAAATGGGAGGAAGAGGCATCCTATTAGAAACCATGAAGAAAAAAAAATAATAATTCCCGAAAGTAACAGAGGCAAACTGGACCTTGATTAAACCCATGCAGCAAAAAAGTGTCAGTGGTACAAACACAACATGATAGTACCATTTCAGTACCCCATGACAGCATGCTGTACTCTTTCCACTTGGTTCCAGGAGATAAGTGATAAGGCAAAAAGCAGGACACTGCTTTAATAGAACCATCAGAAAGAGAAAAACCTCATTAATTTTGTTGTGATTAGGCTAAAAAAGAACTAGTTTACCAGTGAGTAAATTAGCAAAAATGATACTGAGGGTGAGATTCTTCTCCTACCAATATTACATGTATTACATGCATTGCAGTAATACTAAGACCGTTTTGTACCAGTCATTGTTAAATATTTAAGGAAAAGACAATGATAATACAAAACACAAATACTTTCTCTAAAGAAACAAAAGATAACCATAGAGCAGTCCTGAAAAATGAAAATAACTCACCTGCTCCCAGGTCTTTGAAAGTTGAATTATCACATAAAATCACCTTCAGCTTCTTGAATAACACACACACAAAAAAAGTGTACATACATCTGTAACCCAGATGAAAGATGCCTTGCTTTTCAATACCACTGTTTTTCACTGAATTCCTACAGAAATTCCCACCTCTCTGTAGGAAATAGAAGAGACGGTTGCATGCTAGGGACTAAAAGACTCTCCATCTTGCCTTCCCACTCATAATCTTAAAATGACTGTCACAAGATTTCTAACTTCCTATGCCATGGAAATCAGGTTAATCTTCAGTGATAGGTGTTAACAAAATCCTATAAGCAGAGCATGCTTATAGGATTTCTATGCACTGGAACTTAAAACCATTGACATCCATCATTAGTAATTATTCCTGTGCCCAAATAAACCTTTTTTATATGACAATCACTACTTGTTAACTAATTCTGAAGTGCATGTTACTACTGACTTAAAAGTAGTTAAGTATTTACAATTTGTTCTGGACAGGTGGGTTTTAGGAACTTCTGTTTCTCCCAGAATTTAAATCTGACAGTAATATGCAAGAATTCTTGGACTGAGAGCCACTCACAGAAAAATCCCTAAAAATTAATTAGCATAAAGACAGCTGATCACATCCAATAAAGGCTTTGCTAGACACTTGACCTAAACAACTCTCATATTTTCACTTCTAAAGATCAATGCATCACCATATAGTCCACCAAAACCTCTGCATCTAATACTCATAACTATTGAGAGACAGATTTCAAAGATGATAGCTAAAAGTTTATTTACCATTAAGCATTTGCTAATAAGTATACTTTCCAGCATGTGTGGTACCTGTTTGTCATACTATAGTACCTGAAAATATTCACCTTTGAGTTGTTTGCTGATTTAATTTTCTGTTTGAACATATCCAGTAACATCCTTGGTCCTGATTCCTCATTCGTTGCTTCAGATACACATAGTAAGTTTCCTGTGAACTCTCTATAGGCCAAAAATTAACTGCACAACCTAGTCAAGAAATAGTATTCATTAGCTAAATATAAGAAAAACATACATAGCGTATGGATAACCAATGCCATGTATGAACTATGACTTCTTTCTTCTGGCTTTAATGGTATTTCATGTATTCCTCTTCAACACACCATGGAACAAAGTTCTACAGAACCCCGAAAAGAAAGGTATCAATGACCATGAAGTCAGTTTTTAACTCTGCATTTTAATACTCTTATTATTACACAAGTTTTGACACAGATTCAAAAGGCATGTCTGTATCAGCATTTTAGTTCACACTTTAGGAAATCACACATTTGTAGTGATTCTGCTTCTATACCCTGCTTAGCATTGCAAAGCTATCTAAGAGTGCCCAAACTGAATTTCTTTCATAAATATCCAATCCAAAAGATGCACTCCAAAATCATATTTAACACTTTCAAGCCACTAACAGACACTCAATTCAGAAACTGAATCCTGTGAAGTGTACACAGAACTTCAGATCCTCAGCACCATCATTTTTGGCATTATAAATCTTGCATTGTGCTACATTAATTTGAATGACAGCTTTATGTCAGCTATGATGTTTTTGACATACATATATATTTCCATACTAGCATTCATAATGATGAGCAATATTTGGGCTTTTGTGCACATTTGCTCAAGTAAACTACTCTCACAGTTAAAGAGAGGTCTTTCCCAAAACTCAATGTTCAATCAGAGTAGAAATGCATTTGCTTTAATAGTACACACAATTGTTAGGCTAAAATAGATGCATTTGAAGCACTCACTTCTAACCCATCCCGAGCTTCTTCTGCTGCCTTTAAAATTGGTACTGGTACCTTGTACCTTTCTACAGTTGTTACTTACCTCTAACATGCAAATATCTGAAGTGCCAGTGGCAGGAGTGTAACCAAAACCAGGAAGAGCAGAGACCAATTAATCTAGTGAGCAGAAGTAGTAGGGAAAGTGGCACAAAAGCTTGCCCAAAATACTTTTCTATTTTCTGCATCTCAACAACTAAAAGAAATCAGTTGTAAATGTTTATTTATATAGTATATTCTGATTTTAATCCACCATTTCTGCATTCACCAACAATCAGTGTATGTACTGTTACATTATTTAGTACCACTACTGACTTCTCTCCACACACGCTGCCTTTGTTAAAGCTGCTTCTATGATAGTGTAACTTCTGGTGCTGAAACTAGGTGCACAGTACAACCTAGCTGGCTCAGTCTGTCATCACAACACCGACGACTTTAAACAATCACAAAAAGCAGAGGTTTCAGTGTGGAAATCCTCATAACATGTCCTGTGATCCTGTACAACTGTTTCTGTTACAGCACTGTGATAAATAGTGTTGACGCAATGTAAAGGCAACAGTAAAGAGATTGAATATTTCAATTTTCAAGCTAATAGGTTATGACAAATCTTTCATGTCTCTGTTGTAAAACTTCAGGCTCACTTGGCTTTTTGGGGGCTCAGTATTTGAGATTTAGTGTTTTGGTATTAGCCTTTCTATTCCATTTCTCTATAAAACAAGCTGGAAGAGTAGGGAAAATTATTTATTAGACTGGGGGATGGGGTGGGGTGCTGTGTATCTCTCAGTATTTCTCAGATTATGTCAAATTTCAACAGTTCAACATAGTCAGCTACATCAAAGCCAAAACATATACTTTTGAGTCCTTTGTTCATTGCCAAAAATCAATATTTTTGGATAGTGAAACGTTTATTAGACTTATTCCAAACTTACTCAAGAGTTCATGTCTTCTAGCTGTATTGGTACCAAAACTATTTTAAACGATTGCAGTCTGCAGGAATATTTACTAAGAGAACAGGTTTATTGTTTACATCAGGAAGCATAAATTAATGCTAAACATTTACAGGAAAGCTCACTTTACTCCATCAACCCCTGCAAACAGCCCTACATTAGCTCTTCATACTTGATTTTATGATATGAAATAAAAACTGGTGTCATCTGCCATCACAGTAAAACACCAGGGTTTGCATTGTGCTTTGAAGACAATGGAAATTTTCCTTTCCAGGTGTCAAGGTTTCCTCACAGTACACTTCTAAACTAGCAAATTGTACCCCAGATGCCCATCTCTCTACTCTCAGTTCATCCCAAAGATCTGAGATATATCACCAGATGTCAAGCTGAGAGACAAATAAGAGCAGCAAAATATTGCTCACCATGCTGAGTGTATAACACAGGCCTGCTGCTCTAATTTTTTCTACTTCTGTTGATTACATATTAGTACTTCTGCTACTTAGAGAAAGCATGTGTGAGAGTTACTGGCTGAATTCTGTTTTTCAGAGTTGTTATACACAGTGTTGATAGACACTTTTCCACAACTCTTCAAGACAACTTGTTCCCTGTGCATAAAGGAAATAAGAACAATGAATGAAGCAGAACTTCAGAATTTCAAAGGGAAAGGTCTTCTCCTTGAAAATAGATATTTACTATGTTTCCTCTCATGTATATCTAGAATTAGGCTCTTACCAAGTACCTGAAAGGACTGCATCGTTATAGTCACTTTCATTCAAGAGTACTGTAAGGTTTTCTACATCACCCGTAACTAAGTAAAACAAGATTTACTTCACATAACAGACCACCTTGTTGAAAAAAAAAAATTGGATAGCAAAACCCACTGTCAGAGCCTACATAAAAAGAGAATAAGCAGAAAGCAACTTTCCAAACTTCATGTTTCCACAAATTTCAAGAAGTCTAAATCATAACTACTATGTCTAGCAATTACAGCACAAAACAAAATGACCCTCAAATGTGAAGCATTTGACAGTTTGAGATACATGTTTGGCCAAATTAACAGTTAACATTTCCAAGCCACTGCTTTATCCTCTTACTAAGTATCGGTCCCTCTGTGATGACTGGTTACTATCACCAGAAAAATCATTCCTTTTTCAAGGATTATTGATTATGCACAAGCTTGATGTTGAGGAAGCTAAACAAGCAGCTTGATGCACTAATTTGTATGCAGCTATCTTGTTTACATCTCTAAGTCACATTTACTCACAGAAGAGGAGTAATACTGTCTAGATACTACACTACCGAAGTAATTCAATAGACTTAAATCCTTTTTATAAATTAGCATTCAACTGGCA